ACAGCAGCAGCATCAAGGCACCTTTTTTTATGCTTTCCTCCAGCCCAACACAGTGGCATCTCTCGTCGCTGCACAAGCACGCGTCCTGCCTGTCATGACTGCATTTAAGCATCCCTCTGCCATGGCTGGCACATCAAAAAGCAGGGCCAGGCTCTCTGCATTACCCCTGGGAGTATCCCTTGTGTCCATCCCCAGCCCGGTGCTTTCCTTCCCAATTCCTCGCTGCAGAGCTGCAGTTTGCAGTCATCTGCACTCGTTCAGCCGAACAGGCTTTTGTTTTGCAAACCAAGCCCGCCGAGCCAGCCCTGGATTTATACTTTTCCGTATGCGTTTGGACTCCAAGTCCCTGTCGATGGAAGCTGATGTCCAGCCCGAGCCTGGGGATTCGAAGCAAGCGGAGGAATTGCATAGCCATCTGGAGTAGCTCAGCACACCGCAGACCCATCAAGTCATCCCTCCTACCAAGGATAACGCTGTACATGGAAAATTTTGTCCCATCCCACCACAGAGAGGGGTCAATGGGACCCAGGAGGTGGCACTAGGTACCCATGGTCAGGCCCATGGGTGCTTGCTCACCAGCCACTCCTCGAGCCTCCAGGAGCATCTTCTGAGCTCCCGGTGCAGTGGGGATGGAGGAAGCTGTCCAACCCTCCTTGCACCCACTGTGGCAGAGGGAAAGGCGATGGGCAGCAGGAGAGGCTGGCAGGGTGTAGTGAAGATGACGGTGATGGAGGACTGCAGCAGGGTGTGTGCCAGGGTGCTGAGCGAGAGGGCTGAGGAGAGGAAGGTGGTGGCGCACTATGTCTCAGGAGAAACAAGGAACAACTCTGGATCCCACCAAGGTGGTTGGGCTGTGGCTTCATTTCAGCAGCCCCCCAGTGCCTAACCTACAGCCAAGAAAGCGGGTTGGAAAGCATCACAGGCTGGTTTCTCCTAAGAGGAGCAAGCAGTGGTGATGCAGGTAGGATGTCTACCTGGAGACAGTTGCTGCAATGCCACCACCATCCTGGAGCAGAGATGGCAGTGAATGGCACACACATGACCCCACTTGCAGCATACTGGCCCCACGTCAGTGCCTGGTCTCGTACATCTTCAAGCAGAGGGAGAGATGCCCTTCGTGCATAGGGCAGAGCTGCAGGCAGCAGACAGGCAGGCTAGTGAGGGAGCAGCTCACTCGCCACCACCACCTCCTTCCTCTCCCAGGGTAGGCAAAGCCCCTTTATGGACATCATCTCACACCCACAGCAGGTGAACCCCTGGGGTCAACATGGAGGAGAAGACCTCTGAGTGCAGGCCAGGAGCTCTGCCAGGCAAAAGAGGCTCCCAACAGCCCCAGCGTCCCTCCTCCATGCTTGGGAGTGAAGTTTGATGCTGGCCTCTTTAGAAGCTGCTGCTCAAAATGGTCAGAGCCAAGGGACCGTTACTCAATCTAGAGATTTTCAGGCCAGGAGGGAACCATTGGCCTGCATGGGGACTTTGGAGGGGGTTAACAGCCCTCCCAGGACATGAGGACTCGTGTGCATTGCTATTCTTGGAGTGCACAGAGAGCCCTCTTCCATCCCAAGAACTGCTGAGCTCCCAGCTCCCTGTGACCTGCTCCTTCCAGCCCACGAGCAAAGGAGAAGTTTGAGCTGTTGGGAGCTGAGCAAACCCTCGGTGAGGAGCAAGGGTCGCTCTGCAAGGGGCAATGCTGTTCAGCACAGCCTGTCTGGAATTTGCTCCCAGCACTCTAAAAGTAGCTGCAACTTCAAAGCACATCGCATAGCTCACAGCCAATTAATATTCACTTGAAATACTCGTCAGGTGGCAAGAAAATATCCCTGTATCCCAAAAGCAGAGCGGGGCTGAGAGAGAGATACCTGGGGTGGAAGCTGACCACAGCAACCCTTCGCCCTTGACAAATATGATGTGCCAACACTTTGAATCCCCAGAACCCCAGCTCTAAACCCAAGGGCCAAACTCTGGCACATTACTTTGAGGTAAGTGGGTTTGAATGTAGGTCAGACTCCCAGAAATCAGAAGGTGTGAGGAAAGTGCAGGATTTGGGCTTGGTGGGCTCCTCACCCTGACCCAAGGTAGCCCTGGTCCTGGCCAGCTTGTTTCCACGTCTCCAGCACTGGCGTCTCCTTGATGGTGGTTATTTTGTGCCAGGACAGTTGTACCACTGACCTGGATAAGAAAAGGTGATTTGCACCTAATTAGTTTGGGAAAAGGATGTTCTGTGTGTTGGCTGCCCACCTCGGAAAGCAGATGGTGCAAAGCCCAGCCAGCTGTGCCGAAGGGTGTAAGGATGCCACGTCCAAAGCTTTACCAGCCACCGTCTTCTCTTCCAGTAAAGCCGGACCCTCCAGAGAGCGTGGTGGCCAAACCTGTGACCAATAACCCTCGGAGGCTGGAGGTATCATGGCAAAACCCCTCATCCTGGCCCGACCCTGAGTCTTTTCCGCTCAAGTTCTTCCTGCGGTATCGGCCCCTCATCCTGGACCAGTGGCAACACGTAAGTGATGCTGAGCTGGCCGGGACAGGAGGGAGTGGGGGAAGATGGTGTCTGGGAGCAAGATGCACTGGGAACAAGTGGTTGGGGACCAAAAAAAACCGTCTATTTACTGCCCAGGCAACCCAGACCCTTTTTCTCTCCTTCTCTGTCTCTCCTCCTTTCTCTCTTCCTCTCCATCTTTCTTTTAACTCACATTCTGCCTACAAATGGCTGTGCAGGCTCTCCCCGCTCCGCATTTTCATCCACAGCCCCTATCTACTTTCCATACATATGTTCTATATAAAACCTGCCAACGAGATGTAAAAGGCATTTAAAGTATAAATGTCACCACATTTAAATGCGCCTCTGCCACATTCAGATTTTGAACAGAAGATAAAATACTGCTCGCCGTAACTCAGAGCACAGTCACGGAGCAATTGCCACGATGTTATCGTATTTCTTACTTTTATTTCTTGTTTCTTTAAAAAAAAAAATAGTCAGTGAAATCCTTGGCAGCCCGGAGGACAGATTTCATTTGTTAGCTGCAGGAAGATAACAAATGTTTTTTTTTTTTTTTTTCCTCTGTGTGCTGCTTGCATGCTCAGCTTGTGAAGGAAAGCAATCTGCCACTTGAGGAGAGGTGCTGCTATGCTGGCATGGCTCATCCAGCATCCCCTCTGCGCCGAGCTGGGCAAGTCAAAAACCAATTAGGTGCTTTGCTTGATAAAGCGTTACGCACCCCCAAAAAAAGACAAACAAGAGGCGGCACCTGGTTCACAGGGAGCTTACCTGCATCATGGAACCAAGCAGAGTTTTCTGCCAACCAGCTCTTCTTGGGGAGAGAAGCAGCTGAGAGATGGGATGGAAGGCTTTGCTCGTGTCTCTGCAAGATGTTGGTGTCTTGGCAATTTTTTTCTTTTTTCTTTGATTGGTTTTTTTTTTTTTTTGAGGAGGCAGTACCGCAGGTCATGTTTCAGACTGAAGTGTTTGCTGATGGCTTTGAAAATCAGAGAAGGGTTGGGAGAGGGTTTTCCTGCTTGTCTCTTTGCTTCCCTCTGGGGAGCAGAAGAGCATCCGTGGAGCATCCCAAGGGGTAAGAAAGCAGAGGTTGAGTTTGGGTATTAGTTTTGCTGTGGGTATTTTTTTTTTTTCACTTGAGGGAGAAATACTCAAATTGTAGAATTTGTGAAAAAGGGGAAAGAATGAACGGAAATACCAAACACAACGTCAGTTTTTTCAAGGTGTGAAACTGTTGTGGAAAAAGCTCATGTTTTTACCCTGCCACAGCCCAATCCAGCCAAGCACCCTGAAAATGCAGCAGTTTGCACCCAAAAGATGGCTGCCACCCACAGGGTGGCTGGTTCCTCCATCACTGGGTTTTAGGTATCATATTCATGGGGTCAAGCTGTGCCAGTCCCCTTGCTGTAGGGCCACCGAGGGCACGGTGTGGCCTCTCCATCAATGCTCTCGGGCAGGCAGCAATGGTAGGAAATACATGGAGATGTTGGTGACACTGCTGGTGGGGCCACCCTGGCTGGAAAAGGCAGTTCTAGGGCAGTAAAAACTTAATTTCTCCTATTTAAAGATATCTTGAGCTGCAGAGAGAGGTTGACGTACCAGACCTCATGGTGGGTACAAGGAGAGCTGGGAAGGTTTCATCTCCCAGCATTCCAGGAGGGCACAGAAGTCCTGGGTACTGCTTTTAATCAATATCCCCTTGCAAGAGACATGTCCCCCATCACTGGCTGATGGAGAAGTGTGTTTGGGGAATACTTTGCTTGGTGAGCAAGTGCAAGCATTCAGAGTGTGAGGTACCAGTCTTGTTATCTGACTCTGTGCCCCGCCATCCGGGTAATGAAAAATCTGATTTGTGGATGATTTGAGGAAAACTGCCACTATTCATCAGATGAATTATTTGCAAAGCCTAATTCAATCAGCTCCCAAACACCAAGGGATGGCAGTGCTGCAGCAGCAGCAGCCGAAGCTGCTCTGGCCCCAGACCCCCTTGGCACGCTCAGCCTGCTTAGCGCAGTCAGGCACCCTGCGGATGCAGGGATTTGCACCCAAAAATGAACCCAACTGATGCCAGCATGCTGGGAGCATGCCCAATCCATGCTGAGTTCTGTTTTGCTTGACCTACTACTTGTTGGCATCTTGGGGGTGGGGGGTGTACCTATTCCCCCAAACCCAGTCAGCCGAGGGAAGGACATGGTTTGGTAGAGCCAAGCCTCATTCAGCCATCCAGCTCCTCCTACAGTGGTGGGGTTGGGCCTCTCCTCAAAGGGACGAGTGCCCTGAGAAAGGATACAGTGGTCACGTATGCCATGCTTGCCTGGGGGTGTCTTAATTCTTGCCGATGTGAAGGTCTCCTGCAACAAACTGCCCTACATCTTGGCTCTTGCTGTCCTCACCGGCTGCTGGCATGCAAAAGCCATTGCACACAACCTGCTTGCTGACAACGGGGCAGCTTGGGAGCCTGGCAGGGAGAGGAGAAGTCTCCACCAGCAGGCAGAAAGAGCTGGGTAACCTCATGGTCTGGCACATCCCTGTGTGCCCAAGGTCCCCATGCTGAGCCCCATCCCTGCCTCCTCACGGCAACCCACCCATGCACCGGCTGTGGGTTTTAAGCATCTTCTGCCACCCTCTTGGCAGCCCCGCGGGAAGCCCAGCATCCCTGAGGGAGCAAACCCACAAGGGAGTACCAGAGACTGCCCAGAGCCAGGAATATCCATGCAGGCCCCGCTCACACGTGTCTTTTTTTTTTTTTTTTTTGTAGAAACGGCAGCTCCCTTTTCTCCCCTCCAAATCCCATTATCTTTGCAGGGTCTGATTTATGCACAGCACCTCGGCAGGCAGGACCGAATGAGCACTAATAGGATCAGATGGATGTCGAGCTGTCGAATACCGTAGGGCCTGATTCAATCAGCGTCTGCTTTCTCCCAGGCTCTTCCTTTCAGGATTTTAATAATGCCAGGGCTTGGCACCAGAAGATGAAGCCGTCCGTGGCGGGAGCGGGGGATCTTATCGAGACCGCCGCTACGCAAACTAGCCATAAAAGCAGTTCCCTCCCTCCTCGAGAGAGAGCCAGGCGATGCTTGGCACAAGCATCCCCCCCATCAAGCAATATCTGGGGCTGACCCAGAGCTGGGGGGACGTCCTCATCCCCTTCCCAGTGCTTTGCAAAGGTGGTTCTGAGCCCCAGCACACAGTTTGCACTCCCCTTCCCCTGCTCAGCAGCGTCTTTCCACTCAGGCCACTTAGCAGCTCTTGTGTTGCCGTTTGCTCTGGGAATTATGATGATGTGCTCTGGGAATTATTATCATGGAGAGATGATGATGATGAGTTTCCATGTGAGCGTGCAGCGGGGCGTGTGCCGGATGCTCCTTGCGCCTCAGTGCCGCCTCGCAGGAGCTCCCTCGCACCCAGCCACGGGCATTTCCCAGCTGTTCGGGATGCATCCGTGTCACATGGGGTGGCCACGGACTCCCCTCCACTCCACCAGCACTGAGCTCGCTCTGAAACTCAGGCAACTTTGAAGTCACACTCCTGCCTTGCTGGAAGAGGGGCTGGTGGTTTCTCTGCTGCCAAAAGAGAGATGGGATATTTGTAGCCTAAACAGGTTTTTTATTCTACTCCTTTTGGCAGAATCTCCCCTTCTGTCTCCTAAATATAAAACATTAAATGTTTAGGGTATCCTTTATTTTTCTCGTGCTTTTAAGTTTGTAATTCAAGCCAGATTAGCGTGGTTTCCTCTTCTGTTTTATAGCCCCATCCTGGCCCCAAGCGAGCTCTCCTAATGCTCTCAGATGTTCCTCTAATGGCTTACCTAGGCTGGAACTGGATACCCTTTCCTAATGGATTGCTAATAGCCTGTTTCTGGTTTTACAGGCTCCTTCAGTTAACTCGCAACAGCAGCGGTTGCCATGCTCATACATGCGATCTCCCTGCAAGCCCGACTGCACTCTGACCCCTCGATGCGGGCAGGTGACACCATCCCGAGCATCTTTGGGGAGTCCAGCCCAGGATAGGTCATGCACCCAATTTTCTCCCACATCGCAGCATTTGCTGGAGCAAGATCTCCCTTTTCCCAGTTTTTGGTGGGAGATGTCATATGCTGAGCACTGACCAGCTCGGTGCATGTCCTGGGAACGTGGCAATGTTCAGAAGGTATTTCTTAAGCAGTGTCAGAACTGGCGGCCAGGCCGAGGGAGGATTTCCTCCAGTGGGTTGCCAGCAATTTGCAGATGCTGACACGAAGTCTAATTGAACCCATTGGCCACGCTGACAACATGAAATGTTAACGAACCGTGAGACGGGCTGCGCCTCAGATCTTGAGATTTGCAGTAAAAGGTCATGAGATATTTAAAGCTAATAATGTGGTTGGGTTCTCTCCTTCCTCTTCTGTTTTGGAAGCATTAGAGCCACATCCGTGAGCATTTGCAAAGGCTGGAAACATCCTTCTTTGGAAAAGCAGGCAGAGGTGCTCCCACCGTCCCAAGATTTTCGGAGCTGTGGCCACAGAGCCCGCAGTGCAGGCATCTGTGCCGACTCTGCTGCTCAGTAGCTCTGATCTGGGCAAATGATGGGGATTTGGGGACAGGAATGGGCAATTTGTGAGTATTGCCAAATATTCAGTGGTTGGGCTCATTGGTGTGAGGAGACCATGGTGCTCTGGGCCGGCCACTGTGCCTCATGTGTCAGGGGTGGCTGCCCAGGTGGGCTCAGGCTCATCTCCCAAAGCAAAGCAACATTTTTCTGTCAAATAGGTGAATCTCACAGGCTGCCTCTGGAAGTTCATGCCTCGGGGCAGCCTGAAATAACCTGAAAGTGTGTGCTAATGCGTTATCCTGCCCGCGACGGGCAAGGGGGAGGGATGGAGATGGGGAAGGCAATTAGTGCCGTCCCCTGCCGCAGCTGCGTCCGTCCCCACTGGCGCAGCAGCAATGTCACTTTGCGGCGGGCGCGCTTCTTCGCGCCCATTTGCATCCCACACACACACCCACACACACACACACACACCC